TAAAGATATTATTTTTATATTATAGTAATTAATTAAACCCTTTATTTAATGATTTTTCTTATTAATAGCTTCAATTCTACCCACGGTTTTGCGAATGCCAGCACACTTAGTAGCTTTCTATATATATATATATATAGATATTTTTAAACAAGCGAGTGAGTCAATATTTTATATATATATATATATATGTTATTCTTATGTCTCTGATTTTGTCAAAGATGCTGTGAATTTTTTTTTAATTACTAATTATTTATTCTATTATTATTAGAAATCTTAAATTTTAGGATTGCATTAAATTAAATAATATTTGAATATTTAAACTTTATATTTGATTTGCATATTTGTAATCGAAATTAATATTGGAGTACAATTCATATTTGTGGACTAATCTTATACAGATGAAAAATTAAATATCATATTTGTTATAGTAAACAGTACATTAGATTATTCCCACCCTGTACGAATATATGTAACATTACAAAATGTCGTTATACTACTAAAAGAATTCTAGTTATTTTTAGTGAAATTTTTTCGTTTTTTTTTCAGTTTTAAAAGAAATGTTAATTTTACCAAAACTTCATGTGGCGGCTTGTATATCGTATATATTAGAATGTGTTCAATTGAAATTATATCACGTAAAATATGCTAGAAAATATTTTGAAATTGAAGTTAAATTTGATAAATATTAATATTTTATTTGTTAAAAAAATAATAAGAGAATAATATTTTTGTTAGGATATATAATTGGATCATTGAGAACCTTTTCTATTTATAAACAAATCTGGTAATTGAGAAGTGAGGTATGATTTATAATAACTAAATTTCATTTAATGGTGACGCACACCGGATGTAATTATATTTTTTGTTTTCTATTTTCAAAACATAAATTATTCGAAGAAAATTTGAGCTCCATATGGTATAGTAATATTGTTTTTAAATTTAATTCACAAATTTATGATTAAGCTAAATTCAGCAACTCATGTCTAAGCTGAATCCGATTTAAAAACGTTATTACTGTAATATAGAACTCAGTGAAAACCTAAAATATTTTTTATGATATTTTAACATTTTTTATGTTTAACTATATATAGGAAAACGAATGTATTAAAAATACAAAATAGCTAAAATATAAATTTAACTAGCTTAAATAATTTATTGAAAACACAGCAGGGGGGGTTTCTATGAGTATAAAATTTTGTTTTAATTGTTTTTTTTTTTTAATTTAAAATCTAAAATTCTGTGTATTTCATTGTATATAAAATTGCTATTGCATATAAACGTTATTTAATAAGGATATTCGAAATATATGTATATATAGGTGGGAGGATATTATAAAAAGGACAAAACTATATATATGTATATATATATATATGTAATATATATATATGTGTATATTTACTATTCTACTATATATATATATTTCAAATATTGAGGAGGAACAAGAACTAAGCAAAATAAATATTATATACTATATAAAAGTGAACATAAAAAAACTATATATATATGTATAACTACGTGTATATATGGCGTTTGTTTATACTTTTTGGAAACTATATATTTATATATATATATATGTATAATATTTATATGAAAAAACACACAAAATAATTTTTTTAGGGAATCTGCTTAAAGTTGAAACTTCTTATGAAATTTGTTATAAATTTTTAATTTTAAATAAATATATTTTACCTTTAAGATCATTTGAAATTTGATGAATTTTTGTATATATATATATATTGTTTGTTTTGTATATGTAGCGATAATGCAGCGGGACATAATGATCTGATTATTTTTTTCTTATAATTAAAATTAGGTTTTGCATTTTTTGACTATACGAGTAATAAACTATGATTATATTAACCTACATAACAATGATATTGTGTTATAATAAAAGTTTTATATGTATATATAAAAATTAATGAAGCGGTGGACGGGGGTCAGTAATTTGAACGAATGAAATTGATATTATTTTGAAAAACAAAAAAAACATACAGTTTGAATCACGATTGATTTTAAAAGTATAATATTTAATTATACTAGTATATTATGTAAAAATATTAGGTATATGTTGTATATAAGTGAATATAAATTTACTTGTAATTTCGGCATATAATTGTACTCCGGTATTTTTAAAATTTTGTAAACACTATAGAATATTAGAAAAAAATTTCTGTATTAAAATCCAAATTTTCTAATAATTTTTAAAAATTGGCTTTAGTACATTTTACAAATTTTTAGTATAAATTCATAAAAAAAATTTTTAGTACAAAAAGTACTAAAAATTGTAGTTTTTTATTACAAAAATTTTGAAAAGCAAATATATTTAAATTTTTTTTTTTAATAATTTTATTTCATAATGAAATAAAATTTTAATGTCATTTTTGATTATTTTTTATTATAACTGGTTATGTAATACTATTTATATATATATATATATATATATTAATTTGATATTCTATTATTTATATATATATGATTATGTTCTAAAATATTCTGAGAACAGTTGTTTATTTGCGCGTTATTTCATTTCTAACATAAGCTATTTGCATATTATATTTGATGTAAATTTATTTGGTTGATGGTATAAAATATTCGAAAGAAAGAAGAAGTAGTAAAAAGTGAATTTGAATTGATAGTTTTGAAGTTTGAAATTAAAAAAAAAACCAAGATATTTATGTAGGATTTTTTAAGTTAGCGAGTATTAAATAATTGGTTTGTTTAGCATCTTATTTGGAGAATGGATATTTTATGACTTTAATAATATTCTAACGTTTATTCATGCAATATTTTATAACTTTAATAACATTTAACTATGAACATTTAAATTTACAACAAAATATTGTAAGAGAGAGGTAGTAATATTTAGTAAGTTGGTAGTATTTTGGTATTTGCACTGTATTTTTTTTTCTGTGTGATTTAAATTGAATAATATTGAATCGGAAAAATTGTTATAATATTAGAGTAATTTTTGTTTTTGCGTATACTTTTCTTTGTTTTTGGCTTTTTTTTCGTAAGTCTCGTTAATTATAAAGGAAAAGTGTTTATGAAACCTATTTTATTTTGGACATTATTATAAAATTAATTTTGTAGTTTAGAGCAAAAACTGATTAAGTCAACTTTCATACTTCTTAAGCTTATTTGAAATTGGGATTTTTATATACTGTTGAATAACACTGAAAATAGGTAAGTGAAAAAAAAAATTAGCCAATATTCAAACCAAGTAATTTTATTTCCATTTAATTAATCTGTACTCTATTAAAATTATTAGACTCGGAATCTGTCTATATTTATTTGTATTTATAAGAATTAAACAAAAATTATGTGTGACTGCTCTTAACTAATAAATTTTAAAATTTACTATCGAAATTGGTTTGAGAGTTATAAGAAAAAAATCGATTATAAGAGCCCTGTGAGGACCCAGTTTTCAAAAACGGGTTTGAGAAGAAAATGTATAATATAATATAATTCTATAAAAAGTACAGATTTTGCGTGCCCTACTTTAAATTTATCTTATATATAAATTTCAATAAATTTGAGAAGCAAGTCATTTATTTATTTCATTTTTTAATTAGGGGGGAGACGAAATAAATTCGTAAATAAATTAATATTACAGTTTGTATTCTGTAGTTTATATTGTATTCTGTCAAAATTAGTTTTGTGATACTAAATTTGTTTTGAATTCTGATTATTATCTCATTTTAATGAATGAAATCCAAAATTTCAAATAAAATTTATTCGACATACAATTTTTTGACTTAATAAGTTATTGCTTAAGGCCACAGATTTTGACAACAATAAAATTATTGTGTAAATTGTTGGTATAAAAATTTTCATTAATAATTTTTCATTTTGAGGTTCTAATTGATAAAGGATTTTAAGGTAAAATTGTCAACATTTTAATTTTAAACATTTTCGAATTTTGAACATTTTCAAATTTAAACTTAATAATGACATAATTAGCCTTAATTAATGACAACAATGTCTATAGTATTAAATATAAATGCAACAATTATTTAAGTACAAATAACAAAAATCTAAAATGCTCTTATGTTGAACAATAAGCTTTAATCATGCATTTTCATTAACAACCATATTCAATATTCTATGTATAATAATTGTATTTTTTCATATAGTTTTTTTTTTTAACAAAATAATGTTAAGAAAGTTCAAAATTGGAAAATTTAGAAAGTATTAAGGAGGCTTAGTTAAAATTGAGATTTAAATACGATTAGAAGGGAAAATTATTGATAAGGTTATAAGATATTAGTGTTATTCAAAATGGCTGGATGAAATCATAATATAGAATCATTGAAAATATTAAAAATATTGTAACTGAAATTGAAGTTGTAGTTTTAATTAAATTGTACAAGATCTAAGGATGGATTAGTGAAATTACATAATAGAGTAGGAAAATTTTTTAACATAACATTTTTTTGGAGATTTAGTGAGTACAATACACGGTGTATGATATTTGCTTACATCAAATTCGTATAAATATTGAAAGGACTTTGCATCCTTAGTTTGGACCTAAAATTTATACTGAAAATACTGGTTGAGTGAAAATTATTTTAGGTTTCATGAAAAATTAATTTTTCCTTAAACACTTTAAACATTCAAATGTAAATTATTGATAAAATGAATTCATTTTGGAAGAATGTGAGAGGGACATTGAAATTGATTCGATATTTTATATGAGTAAGGAACAAGACTTACAAGAATTTTGTATACGCAATTAAAAAAATTCGTTGTTATTTTTAAGAAAATTTGTTTTTTTTTTGTACAAAAAAGTTGTTAAATTTAAAATTTTTTTTTGTTTTTTACTATTTTTTTTATTTATAGCTTTACTATATTTTTTTAATAATTTTTTTTAATTGTCTTTTTTGTATAATAAAATTTTTTTTTGGGTGAGTTTCTATTTATCGTGTTAACGGGGAACAATTTTATTTTTGTTTTTTTTTTTTGCTTTACGAATCTTTGTAAATAGAAACAGTTTTACTCACCCAGTGAAAGCTTTTCACCAGAATCTGGTGGCAGTGTAAAACCTAGGAGAGCCATTGATGCTATTAAAACGCATGGCACTATCAAATTGAAAAAATAATATAAAGTTTTACGTCGAATTAATATCGCAAATGTTATATCGATATATGGCTCTGGACAGCAATTGTAATAAATTTCGTTACGTTTTCCAGGAACACCTGTAAATGAAACATAGAGAAAAAGAAGAAGAAGAAAAAGAAAAAAAAAAGAAAATGTTATAGAAAAGATATTAAAAAAATAAAAAAATAAAAATAAAAAGCAGAAAACAAGAAAAAAAAAATAAAATTAATTCAATTTAAAAGTTAAGATTTTTTAAAAATATTTTTTTTTATTTTTAATATGATTTTCTAATGAAAAAATTAAAAATGTAATAATTGAAATTTTATATAAAAAACTCTGAGTTGTAGGGGGAAATGTACACAAATATATCAACGTTTCCAATTAAATTACAACAGAGCTGGGCAATGATGTGGCAATTATGATAAGATAATCAAATGTAATTTATGAAATTCTAGAGTTGACATTACAATATTGATATAGTATTGTTACTACAATGTACACAGTATCAATTAGTATTTTACAAATTTAAGAAATGCCCCGGAAATACATTTTCCTTAAAATTTATAGCTTAAAATTAGATTTCAAGATAAGTCCACTTTATAATTCTTCTGTGTTAAATATATGGCATTTTATTGCAACATCATCAATTTGACGATTATATCATATGTCAAATGATAGTCTTATATGTATGCCCTTACATATATGACTATCAACACTTTTTTTTCAAAATTGCTCCTACAAAACGCAATGTCATATAAAATAAATCCAGAGAAAAATATCAAGACCCTAGAATTCTTAGCACTAATGTCAAATTGTATTGGGGTTCATGACTTTTACTTATGATCTGCAAGTCACGTTACAATGAGAAAGAATAATTGTAATTAGTAAATATTTTGAAAACATTTTAATCACAATGAATAAGCCAGCTCAACAAGAATTCAGATAAATGGCCTGAAACTTAGTGAAGAATAAGGTTTAATTAAATTAAAAAAATTTCAATAATTCTTAAATAATTTTATTATAAGTTCTTCATTTATTCAGAACTAATATTATTATCCTAGTTTAAATTTAGTTATCTATATTATATTTCTATTCCATTTTGGGCTTATTTAGCTTGATTTATGGTTACGCAAATATTACTAGTGTCACCAAAAAATATTATTGAAAACAAATAACACATATATTGCAATGAATTTAAAAATTAAAAATCGAATTTTGAAACCTTACGATTGGCGGGTGCCTAGATAATTAAGAATGTTAAAAATCATTGTTTCTATCAACTTTGGTCAAATATGGTTAGCTAACTTACATATTTCGCTAAGAATTATTTTAATAAATGTAGTCGTACGAAAACGTATACACAAACTAAATAAGGATCGATTAAGACTAAATAAATCGATTTACAAGTTCTAAGAAAATTGAGTAAAAAATCTGTAGTTTTTCTATATTTTTAAATGTTTTATTGAATCATGTAACAAGATTTTCTATTTCAAAGAGAAATTGCCAAAAATTTCTAAAAGTTTTAATAATATTATGTACGTACTTTTCTTATCTTATAATTGTATTGCACGTAACTTAATTAATTTGATGGTAATTTTAATGTACAATCGTACACTCCCAATTAAAATAAAATGAGAAAATTTTAAATCTTAATTTTGTTTCTCTCGAATAAGAATAAACGATTCAAATTTTTCGGAACATTGACATGCTCCATTTTATGTTAAATGTTATTTACTTGATAAAATTAAATTTTTTTCTAAAATTATATTGAAGTCAAAAGGAGAACTTTTTAAGCAATTCATAGCATTGAATACTTAAATATTTTGCATGGTTTTTGATAATTTGAAAGAATAATTTTATTTTGATAATTTTTTAATCGATTTCATTCTTAAATATTTAAAAATACAAAAAAAAAATTAGATATGATTATCAATTTGTAATTTATGTATTCGCCCACTCTTTGATTACTTCTGATGTCAAAGTAAACATAATATTAACATTTTCCTCCTTTTATGTAAAAAGTATTAGACCTACTTTGTTCTGCTTTGAAGTAAACGAAAAAATTTGTTTTTTGTTTTGATCTTGACTTTGTGAAAAATGACAAAAATTTAAATGAAATATTAAAAAATATGTACATAAATTATTTATACATATTATAATAATATACATACATTCCTCAATAAAATTTTATACATACATACATATAGACAGAAGAAATCATTACAAAATTAAAGTGCTTCTTAACGTTTTTATCCTTTGAAAATTTTCATCATTACTTTAATAAAAAATAAGTCATTCGTAAATATCCTTAAATCCTCGGAAATAAGAAAATTTTGTTGGAATTTTGTTGCGAAAACAAAAAAACTATATAAAATTTATGATATTTTTTTTTGATGCAAACAAAAAACTTTCCAACGAATTATGAGCTAAAATATTATTATATTTATATATGTACAAAATATATGTACATATATATACATATGCATATTAAAATAATTCAGGTTAGGAGACAAAATTATATCCAAGAATAGTAGAATATTAAGAATTGTTCTTGCGTAATTCTTAAAGGTCCAAAATGGAACTAGCTACTTTATACCAAGTAAGTTTTTGGAACTAGTGCTTTAATTTAAATGGTTTAAAATATGGCGTTCTTCTTGATCATAATTCCTTAGGAGTTATATTATATAACACTAGGTTCTTTCGGTGGTCGGTAACTTTATCTAGACAACTTTATATTGGTTTCATCAACTCTCTTTAATATAATAAAAGGGTGTTATTACAGACTTTTGATATTGTTCGGGTAACAATCTAATTAATTGCATATTTTTAGGTAAGTCTGTACAATAATCAAATTTAATATTTAGGCAATAGAGTTTGATAGAGTTTATGAATTATTAAATAATTATCGAATTGTTCATTAACTTAATTAATTAAAGTAAAAGTCAGCCACATATTTTAACAACAGGATTAAATCCTCCATTGTATTGTTTGTTTTTTCCTTAAATTTTGTTGTAATATTGCTTGCAAAATATTTCAAAACGTAGAAATAAATTTGTGATACATTTCCAAAACCAGTTAATATTTTATATAAAATATTTTTAAATCGTAAAATCCATAAAATGACAGTAGGTATAATGTATATTATATAACAATAACAAAACAATGAAAAACTTACCTAAAAGTTCCCATTCACCATTTGTTATAAAACTTGATATATCACCACCGGCTTCATCCTGCAACTGAAGGTCCAACTAAAATCATATAAAAGAAAATGAAAAAGCGGAAAATTAAAAATGCAATATTTAAGAAAAAAAAAACAAAAATATTAGCGTATGTATAGAAAAAATATGAGTGTTGAATTATATATAATTCCTTTAATACATGTTGGTATAAAATTATAATGCCATAATATTTGAAAAATTTTAAAATTGTAATATAAAAGAAATATTATACGGGAGGAAAAATTTTAATGTTATCGGTGCTTCGAGGTTTAGCAGCTATTTCATTCTATAATTTATACTCTATGAATGACTACAAAATTTCAGAGTAGAGGTAAAAAGTCTGTTTAATAGAGTCTGGTTAACAGATTATTTATTTGTGTCTTCGATCTCTTATAACGGTTCTTGCTTTATTGCTTCAAAATATTATTGATTAGTTTCTAAGAATTCGATACATTTCAATTAAATATCATATTGTTTATAAACTCATTTAGTTTAGGTGTAATGATATGTTGATGATTTCCTTGATATTTTTAGTTTTTATGTATGAAAATTGAATTAAATTCATTTTATTTACAAGCATTTCTAAATGAATGGTGTAAAAAAATCAGTTAGTATAAATGCTCCAAAATTTCGATATTTTTGAAAAAAAAAGGAAGATAAGTGAAATTTTCTACAAAATCCCTAGAAGTATGCAAAATTTTTATATAATTTTCATAGCTTAATTATTATTTCTTTTATATTGTAAGGGACATCAGATACTTTTTCTAGGTAAAATATTCAGCCAGTTAGAATATACTTTAATATTGTAACCAGTTAAATATACTTTACGGATGTTGTGCAAATATGAAATTTATATCACTAAAATAAAATTCATTTAATTATATTATAATGTTTGATATACAAATGCGCTAATTCAAACTCAATTATTACAGAGCCAACTCAATTATTAAAGGAGCCAGAGAATCATAAATTTTTTTTGGTGTATATAATTAACTTGTAAACGATTTTATTCCTGCCATTTTTCTTAATATTAAATCAATTGATGGAATTTTGTATGACACTGTAAGAAAGTTATTACAAAAGTGATTCTAATTCTTTGTTTTTTATCATTTTTTTGAAAGATTTTATTTTCAGTTTAATGCCAAACTATTATATTTCTTTATTGTCCTTGTTATTGTTGTGTCAGAGTAAATAAATATATTTTGGTGATGAACAAAAGCGAAAATATTATATCATATACATCTATATAAAAATGTCAAAAAAAAAAGTTTTTTTCATTACTATTTTCCATTATTAATTACAAAAAGTAAATATATGAAAGAAAAATATAAAAATTATAAATATAAATTGCATATTTTTTATATAAATATATTTATAAAATGTAAATATTTAAAATTCTTCTATCTTTTGACAATTTTCTTAACAGCAAAAATTTTTCAATTTAAAATTATAATTTTTTAAGTTAAAAAACTTTTAATGAAATCAGCTTAAATATAAAATGAATTGGAGCAAATATAATGATATTAAATTTTGTATAACTTTGCTATAATTAAAAATTTATTTTGCTAATTATATTGTTATATTATAGGTAAGTGTTTGTGAGAGTATATTTTTGTAATAGTGGTAGAAATTTTGTAAATTAATTATTATTTTGATAGGATTATTTTTTTTTATTTATGAAAAATTGATTGAAATTATTGTTTTATTAAATGTGGGAGTATTTATTGAATTTCGTTAAATTGTCAAAAACTTAATTTTTGGTTTGTGCCTATGAAAGTACTTATTAAAATGGAATTTTTATGTTCCTCTCTATTAACGGAATAGTTTTCCAAAATATGTTTACTTTACTGAAATTATTCCTGCATTTCTGCAACTCACTTTTCAATAGAAATTTTGGACATTTGAAGAAAATTATGAATGGAAATGTCGAAATATATTATGAAAATGAAAAAAATGAAAAATGTGTATGCGCATTGCGTTGAGTATGCAGTTCTCGTAGTTGTAATTTTTCCTTTATAATTTTCAGAAAATTACTAAGCCTAGCTTTATTTTGAATTTATCATTAATTGTGTTTTGTTTTAAATACATCAGTATATCAATAATGCGAATTAAAAGGCGTTGCTTTTAGTTTTACTAAACAAGTTGAGTCTAGATGAAAAATTAAGAACCTGTTTGTTTTTCACCCGTAGAAGTACCTTATCATAATATAATGAAAGATATTCGTATCTGAGGGAACCATACCTTAGATTCGTATTTTATTGGGATTTAGCTATAGGCATGTCAGTAAACAGTTATAACAATTTACAAAAAGGCAATACTCTACTTAAATTTTTAATTCGCACAAAAAAAAACCGAAGCTATAAAATTTTGTATTTGAAAAGATTGCTTTTGAATTTAATGTGAAACTGCGGCTGTGATCACTTAATATATATGGCCGGTATTAAAATAGCATTTGGAATGAAGATATAAGTATATTTGTAGTGATTAACATATTCCTTTCACATGAAAATTTCCCAAAAAAATATTATTTCATAGAATATGTAGCTGGTTTTTCACAGAATTATTTTAACAAACGATAATTACGTTATTTATAAACAGACGCCTACTTGCGTCATCACTTACGCGTTTGGACTAAAGTTTTTTGGACAATTCTAAAATGTTTTGTTTTTAATTTTTATAGTATAAATAATAAGGGACTGTAGAGAAAAGATAAATAAAAAATGAGAAATTTAAAGAATGCGTTGCAAAACACTCTTTTTAAAGAAAAATTTATTTCAATTCATTTAGTTTTAATTTATGATTGTAAATTAAAAAAAACATTATTTATTCTTTCAATTTTTGAATTACTTAAGTTTTGAAAAAATATTTTTGTTTTTGTTAACAACAACATGTTAAATGCAAAAAAAAAAAATTCAAAACCAAGTGTTTTAAATAGTGGCTTTTTTTCAATGCACTAAAAAGAAAATTATCGCATTTTTCAAATTTTCATTTTTACTGTATTTTTGAGAAACAGTAAAATTTTTGTCAGTGAAATCCACTGAAGGCGAAAATATTACCTACATTTTACATATAGAATTTTACATATAATTTTTTTACATATAGAATTAAGCACAATTATGAATAATATTTTATTAAAAAAACAACAACTAAAAATTTTTCCTTAATTTTCTAATTCCGAAATTTGGAAAATCATATATAATTTTTGGACAACTAACCAGTATAGATAATGTGATCAAACAGGCAAAATAAAGAGAGAGATAGGAGTTCCCCAATATAGCAATGTTTTTTAAGGAATTTCAAGAAGAAATCTATGATATGGATTTTGTAACGTCCTCAATTAATTTGTGTTTGAAAATTAAGATTCACTTTTATTATTCAGTAAAATTATATTGGACTATTCACATTTAGGTAGAATAAATATTTTATGGAAATTAACATATAGTTAAAATGGTGAATAGGCACTTGACTTTTTTTTACAAATATCAAAGAATTCTAATAGAATTCTTGCTATGACAAAGTTTGCAAGGCAATAAAAGTAAGAACAGCAAAATTTGAAATTTCTTAAATTTACACACAGTTTTATTTGTGAATTATTTCAATTACAAATTCATTAAATCTCTTTTAATTCAATGATTTAAAATTTGATTAAATTTTAAAATTGAATTGAGATTATTGAATGCTCAACATTTATTTCATTAATTGTAGAGAACATTTTCAATACCGCAGTGTAATAATATAGAAACACAAAAAATGCCAAAGCTTACCATTTTTATGATTATAAAATTCATAGTGTTGTAAAAAAGAATAAAAACAATACTATAAAAAAAATGTAAAATCACGAAAAATGGTTAAAAATTGTCTTAAAAATGTCAGTGTTATCGAATTTGTCTCATCTTAATTCAACATTTTTTAAGGATCAATACTTCTGTTCCGTACTGTAATAATAATTATTTAAAAAATATTTGTCTTTCGTTTTTAATAAACATCATTTTGTCAAAGAAATTCTTAGTTATTATCAACTTATATAATACATGTATGTACATAATATTATGTACATATTATGTATATGTACAAATAAACATACATGTGTAGGTAATTTTGTTTTTTATATAAATACACAGTAAGAAAATCAAAGGCAAAAGTTTTCTTTATAAAATTTTTTATATGAAATTCTTTTAAAATTTATTTGAGAACAAAACTTATTTTTTATTTTTGAATTTCATATAAAATTAAAAAAAAAAAATAAAGATATTTTTTAATTTTACTCTTATTATTTATTGTTATTTATATTTCATAGAATTCTGGGAGCAAGATGGATGGGTGGTATGTAGGGTAAACTTCAAGGTTTTGCTGTATAGATGCATGGTATAGTTAAATGAAATGAAATGAATTTTTAGTATTTGTGCAATGTACTTAATATTGTATCTTTGCTTTTGAATTTTAATATTTTTGTTTCAAAATTTTTAATACATTAATGTTATATAAAAATTAAAATTTTTTTCCTTTACTTTATTCCAAGAAAAATAAAAGAAATGTTTTGAACTTGCGAATTGTTGACATTTAAAAATAAAATTATAAAAGTGAATAAAATGATTTTTATTAAAAATTATGTTGTTAATTTTTGCGTTCAAGAAATTTCTTCAAAATGTACTTGAAATAATTAATATAATTAAAAAAGAATTTTTTCTTTTTTCTGGGACTTACTCTTACCAAATGGGCGATTTAATTAATTAACTACCTTTTTTGTAATTAAATACAAAAGATTTTACCAAATTTTATGCAACTAAATAGATTTATTTCAAAATAAAATCGCTCAAATTACATTTTTCTTTATTAAAGGGCCAAATTGTACATTTAACAAATTCGTACTAAACCAATGGTATTCAAATAGGTATATCATATTTCCTTTGAATTTGTTGAAAAATAAGTTTTTAATAAAAGTTAAATTGTGATTAATTTTTCGCATCAATATAACCAAATTACATAATGGAATAATTATTGCATACTTTTATGTTGAACAGAATAATTAG